TTATTATAATGATTTTTATACTGAGTACTTCAGATTAGAGAAGACTGAAAAGCATTTAAAATATAAATATGTTTAAGACAAGCTCTGAGCAGATGTTAAAGAGTATATTAAGACTTATAATATCTGTTAAAGATTAAAGATTCTGCAGTATAAGTAATACAGTGAGTTAATATCACTATCTATTTTAAAAAGCTTATGACAGAATCTATCAATGAATTTCATAGTTAATCTGCTGAAGTTAATAAGAGTTAAAAAATATGACTCAATCTTAATTATTATTAACTGCTTTATAAAGATGATTAAATATATCTCTACTTATAAAAAGATTAAAGTCTCTGAATTGACTGACCTGTTTTTAAATATTATTATTTATAATCACAGTACTCTGAAATTATTAATAACAGATTAAGAATTTCTCTTTATTAGTAAATACTGATCAGCTTTTCACTATTATTTTATAATAAGATATCTTCTCAGTACTGTATTTCATTCACAGACAGATAATCAGACTGAATATCAGAATCAGATATTAAAATAGCAGCTTCAAGTATTCTATTTATATTATCAGAATAATTGATCTAAACATCTTCTAATCACTGAATTCATATATAATAATATAAAAAATGTAATCTTAAAGATATCTTCTTTCTATACTTATTATAAATATAATTCTTTATTACTCAGTGACATTACAGATAATATTTCAAAGAGAGAGATAGATAGTCAGAATGTTAAATAGATACAGAGAATAGAGTATCTCTCAGTATCAGAAGTAAAAGTGAGATTGAAACTTTTAAATAAAATTTATAAGAAGATAGTGAAAAGCATTCATCACACTCAGAAATAGTAGATAAAATACTATAATTAAAAACATCTTCTAATGAAGTTTTTAATAGAGAATTAAGTACTACTTTCAGCAAAGAATATTAAGATAATGAGACTGTATAAAAAGCTCAGTAAGTGATAACTAGAATCTTTCTCAGTAATAAGAGTGATAAATAAACAGATATATGAGTTAAAATTATTCTCAGAATTGAAATCAATTTATTCTATTTTTCACATTTTTTATTTAAAGATCTATAAGTAATATCTCAGAGCAGAGCTGTCTCAGCTGAATAATATTAAGATTAAGAGTGATACTGAATATCTTATAAAAAAATATTAAATAAGTCAATGTATTACAGTAAGCTTCAATATCTTATTAAATAAGAAGATTATTCATTATCAGAGAATTTATGAGAACTGCTTAAGCATTTGAAAAATACTGAGAAAGAAATTACAAGCTATGAGACAGCTAGTAGAGATTACTCTATTATATGTCAGAGATATTGAATAAGCAATATCACTTAAGACTTTTCATTTTTCTTAAAGAGTTTTTTAGAGATAATCTTACAGTGATAAGTTAATATCTTATAAACTCTATAACACTCTTCTTCTATTTTCTCTTAAAGAATTTTTAGAAGTTTAATGAGACTATATAAAGTGTAAAATTTCTGAAGCAGTTAATAAGAAAAGAAAGAGATATTTAAAATTAATACAGATTAATATTATTAATCTTCAGGTCACTACTATTCTAATAAAGTTATAACTTATAGAAAAAGTAAAAAGAAGAAACTTCAAAGTTTACTAATTAATAATTATATCTTCATTAAACTTATTCTTCACTATTGAAGTCTTCAGTATTAATATCTTTATCTGCTGTGAAGTTAGCACTGCAGTACTGTAGAACAGTATACTGCAGAAGAGTATAAAATATATAAAGTATTAACTTATTAATTTATAAAGTATCTCAGTTATCTGCTTTAATTAAAGTGAGATTCTCTTTAATCAGTGATTAATCTCTGTAATACTTTTAATAACAGTATTAACTAATCTCTTCTTCTTAGAGCTGGTCATTCTGAGATGTTTTTTTATCTCAGAGATTGTATACTTTTATCTTCTTCTATAGATAAGTAAGAGAGATCTCTTCAGTCTTAATAGAATCTATTAACACTTGAAGCTCTGAGACTATTGCTCTGTACTACTTGAGTATCTGAGCTTCTTATCAGAACTGATATAATATCTTCTTGTAGAATAGATAATACTTACAGAGAAATAGAAGTTATTGTTACAGGTACAATAGAAATAACAGAAGTGAAAGAAGAGATAGATATATAAAATTCTCTCTTTCTTCAGCTGCTTAGTGCAGTGCAAGTATATAGCAGTGTTAATCAGAGACTGTATCAGAGTCTTCTCACAGAGAGAAGATAAAGAAACTATGAAACTCTGTGAACTCAACTCAGCAGTATTCTGAGCAGGGCTCAGATGTGCTATAAAAAAGAAACTATGAATTAAACTTCTCTAAGTTACTATTTTCAGAATTAAGCTCTTCTCAAGATTCTCTCTGAATGATCACACAGAGTTATATATTACAGTATCAATTGAAAGAAGAGACAGTATTACAATGACAGTAAGAGAAGTAGAAAAAGAACTGAATATAGACAAGCTGATCAGTAGAAGAAATAATATCTCACTATAAGACACAGTATTTACTGCTGTGATTATAAGAGATGCAGAAGAAGAAGAAGAAGATGTGATAATAAAAGTAATACTTTTATAATTTATTAACACTGCAGTCTTCACTTTCAATCTAACTTTCTTAACAGTCACAGAGACTGCAGCTGTATTACAAAGATATTTATTACTCACTAGAAAATATCAGAATAAGCTCTTTATTATCTTTCAAAAATGATACTCTCATGCACTCACTATTACAGATGAGAGAGAGAGAGAAAAATATGTCACAGAGAGAAGAAATCTTTTTAAAAAATTCTATCACTATTGTTAACTTTGTCTCTAAAATATACTACTTTTACAGAGAGTTCTATATACAGAACAGAATATATTAAGAGATCTATAAGTTACTTATTAACTACATTTTTTATATTTCAATCAATATATAAGAAATTTACTTATTATATAGTTGATTTAAACAGAGATAAGAAAGAGAAGATTTATACAGTCAGTAGAGAAACTCATCTATTTCTTTATATTATATATAGTATATATGCTGTTAAATCAGTTAATAACTATTACTATACAATAAAGATAATTTCTAATCTGATAATTTTAAGAGTATTAAAACTATACTTTTAAAGAAAAGAGTATTATCATATCTCTAATTATATCAAGATCTCACTGCAGTTCTATATAACTTATTACTTCTCTGTGAATAATTTCATTTATTCTGTAGACTGTTCAAACTGATTTTCAATTACTTTATAATATTATTCAGATATAATATAGAAAGATCTGATTGATAAATATAAGAACTCTACTTCTATATAAGATTAGCAAATTACTCTTTTATAATAGTAAGATACTGCTAAGATATCACTCTAACTATTCTTACTTATAAAATAAGAGAAGAGTATCTGCTCATTATCTATATAGAATAACTAGATACTGACTTCTTATTAAAGAAGTCAGTGATTCATTTTTTATCTTCTATAAGAATATATATTAGAGTTACTGCATTTTTCATACAATCTTCTTAGTATACTAAGTACTATATCTGTGATATTCTCATAATAACTCTGTAGCTCATGAGCTTACTATTTAAGTAAGATAGTTAAGCACACTTATACAGCTTTTTAAACAACTATCTCTATATAATACTATTGACTAGTCACTGCTTTGATTTCACCACATTACAGATACTACTATTTTTACATATAATATTCTTTCTCTACTTATAGAACTGCTCTACTGAGTTGTAAATATCTACTTAGTAAAGTAGTAGTTAAAAGAGTATTAAATTCTCTCTATAGACTGATTACTTCTATATAAGTAAGATATTTATTAATTGCTTAGTAAATGCTTATTATATATAAAAAACCGTATAATAGCTATATTTTAATAATATAACTAATTACTTTACAATATTATCTTTATTAAAAAAGTATTATTATTATTATTATTATTCTTCTTTTATTATACTTATATATAAGTGAAGCTTATGATGAGTTCTTGTATAATGTTAAATACAGATTAAGTATTAATTATACAGAAGAAAATACAGGTGTTAAGATTATATCAAGATAACAAGAACATAGAAAAATATAAGAAGTGATAATTAGATATATATAATAATAACTTCTCAGCTCAGAAATATAAAGTAATTTATTAAAGTAATTTATACATCTCTGTATTTATTAGAAATCTGAGATACTTAAGTTTCAGATTTAATGTATTCTCTACAGATTTTAAACTTATATATCTTGATTTCTTATATCAAGATACTATTAGATAACTGCATTAATTATTCACTTATTAAGACTTTATTAAAAAGTAGTAAATATATACATTTTTTTTTACAGACTTAATATATTTTAAAAAACTTTAAATAATTAATTAATAATTTAAAACTATTTCAGTAATTAAATAATTAATATAATTATTAATTAAATAGTATTTTAATATAAGAAATGAAAATAAATAAGTTTAAACTTTATAAAAATAATATCAAATTTAATCAGGTTAAAATTAAAAAATTAAAATTAAAACATTTCAGATTCTTAAAAATATAGAAATATAACTATCAAATAACTATAATCTGCAGGATGCTTAGATTATATGTGTGAATCATGTGCAGGTGAGGCGATTCAATTGCTGTGGCAACACTCTCTCAAGGTGGCGACCGCTACAAATCCTGCTGCCTCAACCGAATGCAACTACTACGGAGTTACTTGTTGTAATACATTAGTTATTGTCAAACAGCATGTTATTTAACTTTCACCTTCTCCAACTGTAATATTCACAATTACCGTAGCCTATCTGCATGCTATGTACTCTATACACAGTATTATTTAGCAAACAAGTCAAGAAATAGATATGCGAACTCTGCTTGTACCTGACTGTTGAAACTCTCAGCTCACATCAAAAATATTGAAATCAATTTCTCGGATCGTCTTGTCTCTCCCTCTCCCTCTCCACTGGATGTTCTAGAACCTTCAAGTTGGAATCAAGAAATCGAGCTGTATCTTGTTAGTGTCTCTTTTAGCGTGGTTGGTGGCTTCGGTCCGCCTGCTATTATTTATTATCTCTGATCTCCAACCCTCCGCACCCACAATCCCCATATCCTGCCATGGTTATTCATGCCTCTGCTCTGCTGGACAGACTTGCTCAACGGTCTTTGGATAATGAAGAATGAATGAATGAATGAATGAATGAATGAAGCCTACCGGCCCTTCAGCTCTACAAGCAGCTACTGACTGATCGCGATCGACGGGGCTCACGGTTTGTTACTGTGCAAGAATTATGCCGCCTGGACGGCCTCCCCCCGGCGCTCGCAGATAGGCTTTGATTGAACGAAGCCCGTTCACCTAACTCCTTCTTAGGCATTGACAGGGGATCCCTACTTGACCATTATTAATTACCCTTGACGGATTTTCACTGTTGTTCGCTGCCATTAACATCCCTCCCGCCCGCGATCTCGCTGCCCCGTCTCTTGTGCCACCGATTAAGCGTGAGCATCCCGACCAAGCTACAGCTTCTATATATATCTATATATACAATCAAGTTTTCCGGGGAACAGAATAAATATATCTTTACTCCCTGATTGTTTGCGTTCCCGCGCTTTCTGCTGCATGAGATAATAGTGGTGGCCGCAAGAAGCAAACCGGATTGAAGGATGGCTCCGAAGGCCGCTAACCACCAAATAGGGTGGCTATACGATTTAGTACTATGGTCGCTTGCCGTGCTCATCGACCTGTTTTTCAGAGAGGTCCACCCGCGCAGTTCATGGAAGGTCCCCAAACGTGGTCCTATAATCCTCGTTGCTGCCCCGCATGCGAACCAGGTACGTCCCCCAACGCGGTTGCACAAAGTAGCGATCCGTATGGAAAGATATACGGGGATATATAATCCGCGTTGCTAACGGAATTTGTTCCCTTACTTTGCATCTATGTAGTTCGTGGATTCGTTGATTCTTATGCGCGTAGCCCGCAGAGAACTAGACCGTCGAATAGCCTTCCTCATCGCCGAAAAATCATTCAAGCGGAGATTCGTCGGGTTGCTAGCAAAAGCTGCGGGCGCGTTGCCCGTGGCTCGGGCCATGGATAATATGAAACCTGGCGAGGGATTAATATACTTACCAGACCCTGTTAATAATCCGAAACTACTAAGGGGTGTTGGCACGAAGTTTGACGACCCAGGATTTGAACCTGGCGGCACGATCGCTCTGCCGACAATAAATGGCGAAGCCCATTCAACGGATATTGCAGAGATTCGCGGCCCAGATGAGATCATTTTGAAGAAACCCTTCATGCACAAGGATGCGCTGTACCAGCTTACGGGCCGGACAGACATCTCAGATGATTTGAAGTTTACTGGCAGTGCTGCGGAGCAGGATCTGTCAGGCTTCAAAGGGTCTAAGTTTAAAGTTGCTCCACATGTCGATCAGACGGGCGTGTATAAAGCGGTATTTCAGACCCTCAATGCTGGAGGATGTATCGGCATCTTTCCGGAGGGCGGTAGCCATGACAGGCCTAACTTACTTCCATTGAAAGGTATGGTAATTGTTCAATCCTTCTAATAAGCCCCTCCCCCCCTTTTTTTTCTCTTTGGGAGTATGAAGCTGATGGATCTCTGTAGCTGGTGTTGCCTTGATGGCACTTGGGGCCTTGGCAGAGAACCCCGACTGCGGTGTGAAAATCGTCCCTTGTGGCATGAACTATTTCCATGCGCATAAGTTCCGCTCTAGGGCCGTGGTGGAATTCGGTAACCCAATTGAAGTGCCACGGGAGCTTGTTGAAATGTACAAGGCAGGCAATCGACGGGAAGCTATAGGAACACTGTTGAACACTATTTACCAGGCACTTGTTGCGGTGACTGTCGTTGGTCCCGACTATGAAACACTTATGGTTCGTCTCATATCTCTACTTGCCCTTGAAGGAAAGATTGGAAAAAGTTGAGCCATTTGTACTGACGTACCTAAAGTTGATACACGCAGCAAGACGGTTATACAACCCGGCAGGAAAGAAGCTTCCGCTCCCTATGGTCGTAGAGCTGAATCGTCGTCTGGCGAAGGGCTATGCCCAGTACAAAGACGACCCTAGAATTGTGAGCCTAAAAAAGTCCGTCATGGAGTACAATAAACAGCTGTGGTTGCTAGGCATACGTGACCATCAAGTAGCATATGCCAAATTCTCCATCATCAAGGTGGTTTCGACTTTGATATACCGCCTTGGAAAACTGGGTATTATGTCCATTGGCACCTTACCCGGCCTCGTGCTCTTCGCACCAGTGTTCGTAGCGACCAAAATGATTTCAGTCAAGAAATCCAGAGAGGCATTAGCCGCATCTAGTGTGAAGATTCAGGGCCGCGATGTAATGGCTACGTGGAAATTACTAGTTGCATTAGCTTTCGCACCTCTCCTCTATGCATTCTACACAATCCTCCTCACATACTGGACCTATCGGAATCGCATCCAGGGGTATGTTCCCGAATGGGTACCTCTCTGGCTAGTGGTGATATTCGGCTGTTGGATATTCCCTTCAATTACCTTTGCAGCATTACGAATCGGCGAGATCGGCATGGACATCCTGAAATCCATGCGCCCGCTCGTCCTGTCCCTCAACCCCACCTCCGCCAACACATTCGTCAAGCTCCGAGACCGAAGAGCCAAGCTCTCACATGAAGTAACGGAGCTGATCAACACGCTCGGTCCGGAAATGTTCCCTGATTTCGACGCCACGAGAGTTGTCGCAGACCCATTCAAAGAATCGCTATTCATGCACGAGGAGCCTTCAGCATCGAAGAAAGAAAACCAGCTTCTCATGGGGCAAGAACCGGACGCGTCCACACGGAGAATCAAAGGCGAGACTACCACCTTTGTCCCCAGCCACCTACCCCGCAACGAATCGTTCCACGACCTCAGCAACATTGGCTTTTTCTCCACGCGGCCACCTAGCCGGAACCGCAGCCGCAGCCGGAGCAGTTCGAACAGCGGCCTTACCGGTTCGAGCGGCATGCCGCTCAAGGCGTTCAGCACGCTGAATTCCAAGGAGAGCTTTGATGAAGTTAGCAAGCGGATTCGGGGGGCTATGAAGGAACGGGGCCGGTTGAGGAGGAAGCAGAGTGGGGAGTTTGGGTGGGAGGTTGCTAGCTCTGCGGGGTCTGAGAGTCCGCGCAGCGAGGTTGGGAAGAAAGATTTGTGATTTTAGTTGTCGTTTTTTATTTTGGTGATTGTCAAACGAGGGAAAAAATGAGGGAGGGGTGTGTATAAACAGAGGATTTGGTGCACGGATTATTGTTTTCCCCTCGGGATAGTCAAATTACTTGGGATGGAGTGTGAGTTGAGGGAATGGGAATCGTCGCAGATGCCGATTAAACCCATGAAAAAAGCGACGTATATATTTGCGGGTATGGGTATACATACATTGAGTGGATTTGGGGTTATAACTCCAGAACTGACGATACAAACGAGACCCTTGGCAAGCCCAAGGTGAGGGGACGGGCTATCGCCCCGATTTACTAGTGTGCTGCTGCCCCCGACAGCTGTCCTTGCTGGTCCCGCTGCTAATTCGGCTCAAACCATTTTGGACAATATATTTTTCGGTACTTCTCTTTTGTTCTGTTGTTTGTCGACGCGCTCGGTACTGTTAAATATCTTGATATTTTCTTCTTCTTCCTTTCAGTTGGACCCCCTGTTAATTCATATCGTCAATCAGGTGTGGCGTTCTAGCGTTTCTCAAATGTTTTGTTTCAAAGCCGTGGTTAATATCCAGGTTCATTCTTGACGCGAGGAGGAGGTGGAAGAGGAGGAGGACTCGGAGAGGAGGGCAGAGCGACGTTCCGCATTTATTATTTTATGATTCTCATGCTATATTATCGCCATATCATATGCAGATAGTTTACATAGCCAAATACGTATTTACGCAGCACTTCGGGTTGTAATCGAGTTGTTCAACCATGTGAAGTAGATATTTGCTCTCCTTTTGCAGCTATCGACCGAGCCAGCGCGATGACGTCGGCACCAAGCCACTTCTCCGTACTCCGTACTCCGTAACAGAGGCTCATTTAATAATATTGCTCTGGTAAGGTAGCGCATGCGCTCAGCCACGCCGGGGAATCCAATAGGGGGCGGTGAAATACCTTACGAAGCAGGGAAGAAAAAACCCGCGCACATAACTAAAACATGCACCAACAGGAATAGAATGCGGTTGGGATAATATCATTTATTTTATTATTAATTACGTATCTCCATTGCGTCGCGATTATGTTGATGGCAAAGAGTTGATTTCACTTATTTGTTTTATTATTTATTTTATTTTTTACTTCCCTATTTTTAGGACCAAGTCTCCTTTCCTTCCTCAGGTCTCTTTTTTTTCTTCCCTGACACCCGTCGATTTTACCAACTTCCGCCTGGTTTCCCAGACCGCTTCTCTTTTTGTCCTTTGGGGGGGATTTCTCCGGAGACGCTTCGGTTTCGTCTCGGATGTTGTGTTTTTGTATACTACGAGTGTTGTTGTTCCCTTCTTGCGGTTCACTTCCTGGGGAGATCCGGAGAACATAATTAAGGAGCTCGTCGCGATTTTGCCCATCAGCCTCGCCCAACACACACACACACACACATCTACACCTGCGTAACCAACGGGGAACAACGAGAAAACAATAAATAGAGTCGGCAAGAGAGCGCCAGAAAGCCAAAACGCCTTCGGGACCAAAAGCAAACCATTCCCGCCTCCCGTTCTGTCCTCCCAACTTCACCTCCTCAGCTCAACCCTCCCCTATCCGATCCCCGCTTTGGGGCTCTCACCGCTCCGTCCCCCGCCGATGAACTGTTCTCCTCTCCTGGAGGCCATCTGATCCGTACATATACATCGTAAACAAGCCGAACCGATTCGCCCTCCGTTCCTCTAACTCCTCCTGCCCTCGTTCCCTGAGACACCCTTTTCCCCCAACGCAGTATCCCCTACATATCTATCCCATGGCGGCCTCGTCGATGCATCTTTCCAAACTGCGGAGATGGCTTCTCTCCTCTCCGCCGATTGAGTGGGGGCTGTCACACCTCCGGGAACTGTTGATTGGGGCGTTGAGAGAAGGGCCGATTCCACAGCACGTGGCGTTTGTCATGGATGGAAATAGACGGTTTGCGAGGAATCATCGGATAGAGAAAGTTGAGGGGCATAATTTGGGGTTTGAGGCGTTGGCTAAGGTATGGCTTTTGTGTGATTTAGTCTGTTTTTTTTTTTTTTTTTTTTTTTTTTTGTCCTTATCGGTTTGGTATGGGCTTTGGATGGCGGTGGAGGACTCTTATATGCGCTGTTCAGGCAGTATTACTTTCTGTATCCGTTTTGCTAACACCTGCGCGCTTGTGTTAGATATTAGAAGTGTGCTACAAAGCAGGTGTCAAGGTGGTAACGGTGTATGCCTTCAGTATCGAAAATTTCAAGAGGTCGAAATACGAGGTGGATGCTTTGATGGACATGGCAAGGGTGAAGCTAGCCCAGTTATCCCAACATGGGGACCTGCTAGATCGCTACGGTGCTAGTGTACGTGTCTTGGGTCGACGGGACTTGGTTAAGCCTGAAGTACTGGAGGCCATCGATAAGGCTGTTGAACTTACAAGTCGAAATGGTGATGCCATCCTGAACATCTGTTTCCCATACACGTCTAGGGACGAGATGACGACCGCGATCCGGAACACCGTCATCGAATATAGCACCCCTCTTGACCGAACACAGTTACCATTGTCGAATGGACAACGCCGCACTTTTTCCGAAACGCACATCGCGGAGAGCATACAGAAGGAGGGTGGGATGGTTAACGGACACGGAACGGATTCCTCGTTATTGCGCCCACGAGGTAAACGGGCGACCAAGAGTTCCAACGACGACCCCGACGCTTTCCCCCTCGCTACCTCAACGACATCAACAGATCACCACTCGCATGTTGCAGAAAAAGTTGCTATAATCCCAGAAGCATACACCAGCTACCCTCCCAACACTGACCAACTTATCTTCCTCTCACCAGAAACCATTACGCAGCAAACCCTAACCGACCACATGCTCACTGCCGGCTGTCCACCCCTAGATCTCCTCGTGCGAACCTCTGGCGTCGAGAGACTGAGCGACTTCATGCTCTGGCAGTGCCATCAGAACACAGAGATTGTGTTCTTGGATATTCTTTGGCCGAGCTTTGACCTGTGGACGTTTTTACCAGTACTGTGGGAGTGGCAATGGCGGGTACGCAAGCAAGGGGGCCAGAATGGGGAGCTAGAGGATAGCAATGAGGATGAGTTCAGTGGTTCGCACAACGGAGTCACGAATGGAGTTGGTTCTGAATATTCCCCCCTGGCGCATAGGCAGCGCGCAAGGTCTAAGGATAGATAAGTTTCTCTTTTTTTCTCTCTTTTTTGGGGGGGGTTGTTCTTCTTTAACTCTCTTTTTTTGGTTCTCTCCCCTTTGCGGGAATTGCATTGTTAATTTTTCTTTAATTCTGAATATTTGCCGCATCCTTTTTAAAAAAAATTTGCTGTTTTTTGATATGGAGTTCTGGTTTGTTGCGATTCTCTTTTCCATCGGTCTTTCCTCATCTTCGAAGCATTTATAGTCTACCGCTTTGTTTTTATATTTACACCTATTGCTCTGCTTTTGCTTTTGCTTCATGAGAGGGATTCGTGATATCACGGCTGTGTCTACTCCATATGCCAATCGCTGGATGTTACCGGTTGCCTCATTGTCTATTATTTATTTCTCACATTCTACATAAAAATAGACCAGTATACCCCTAATCCGCCCTGTTTCCTGCACCCTTTGTATAGCGTCATAATATCATGTTAGTGGTTAGCTACCAGCTCTTCGTGTTCCCTACAACGACCCTAGTAGACTCTATTACTAGCTCTGTGAACCAAAAAATGGATGCGATTTCAGAGGATCCTGGGGTCTTTTCATCAATCAAAGAAAGATTCCATCAATCCCAATGGGACTGTCCCCTTCCTTGCGTTCATTGGACAGTTAACTCATTCTCGAACAACTTGCTGGACGGTCAGCAATTAAGCCCACTAGATATATAGGTACGTGCTGTATACCCAATCTTCTTTCGCAGAATCCTGTAGCTCTGTATCGTATCGTGTTGGACTCTAATATGGTCGAAGCAAACTACGCCATCTTGTTTGCGGTATTCCTGGCGATGCTCAGGCGAAACTCCTATAATGCCCCCGAGTTGGTTGGTAACTAGTGTCTTGGCGCCTAGAAATTAGCTTTGTTGCTACTTGCACACTTGGAACTTGTAGTCCGCCGTACCACAGGTACGGACCAACTTACGCTGCGTAGATGCCTCGAATATCCGGTGCCTGTATGGAGTATATACAGTACGGACTATGATGATGTTGGTCCGCCTTCAGAGGGAAATGCTTGAAACGTCTCGCATCATCAGTCGCAGTAGACGCTGTGTACCTCACCTGTCGATCTGCCAGATCCCATTCCGCATCATGTCTTCAAGTCATTCACAAGCCTGTTCCCTCCTCTCTGACGGGTAAGTTTGCTACTGCTGAAATCATGCAGTTCAGCGGTGTTAATCTGATACAGTGCTGAATTTGGACCATGAATTTTTTTTCGTTTCACGCGTGGGCCGATTCATTCAAAATGAAGTTCATGAAATGGCACAGCGATACATCCACTTTGATGTTGAGGAGTTAGCTCGTGTCGTGGGCACGGCCGTTGTGCTAAATCTTGCCTCAACATCAAATATATTGACAAGTCTATGTTAAATTCACTACGTTTCTGATGTGTTTTCATAAACATATCTTGCTGCATTATTATCACGTGATTATATATTTCGTCGGGCCGAGATCGGAACTAAGCTAACCGGTAATATCCTCTCCCTTTTTATTTTGAAGATTGCGACAAACTCGACTCTTCTCTCAGTTCACTCTCTTACACTTCAGATCGATATAATCAGCTTCACACTTCATATAATTATTGTATTATATCCTTCGAAGAGATAATATTCACAATGTCGCAGCCAATTGAAGGTCGCAAGGTGCTCTTGTAAGTTCCCTTCTCTTCTCTTGCTCCTTCCCTCACTTGAGATTTCCTCTGCCCCGCGGTCACCTCCCCCACCAGATATCATATTTTCAACTTCTGCTTTTTCAACCATTGAGAGATTGCAATTGGATATTATCAACGAAGACTGATTTCTTGTTCGTGTTATATAGGTTAGGAAGTGGTTTCGGTTCGTTATACCCGGCCCTGGTGTTTATTTTATGTTCTAAAGAGGGACTGCGAGAGCTCACGAATAACCCCCCTGACAATACAATCACTGACATAGATCGTTCTCTTTTCGATAATTAAATAGTTACGAAGCCGACTGTTGAACTCCTAAGCAATGCGGGTATAGAGGTTACTGTTGGTATGTACTAATATTCGTGCCCTAATGCTAGTTCGCCCAACCCAGAGAGACATCAACCCCGCGTCCACCTGTCGGAACACCGTTCTGCGCGCCATTATAGGGAACGCAGCACTGCTAATTAATCTACCCAACAAACAGCGTGCCGCACGCTTGAGAGTGCCAAGAAGCTTAGCCAGGGCATCAAGAACACAAAGGCTATTTCTCTCGACGTCAATGACAGCGCTGCTCTCGATGCGGAGCTGTCCAAAGTCGACCTTGTCGTGTCCCTGATCCCTTACACGCACCATGCAACTGTCATCAAGGGCGCGATTCGCACCAAGAAGAATGTCGTCACTACGTCTTACGTGTCGCCTGCTATGATGGAGCTGGAGAAAGAGGTCAAAGAGGCCGGTATCACGGTTATGAATGAAATTGGTCTTGACCCTGTATGCTGCGTTCGATGCTAGTCTTGTGATTCTAAATTATCGAATTGTGTTGGCTGATATACGGGTTTTACCCCGTTGTGTTGGATTAGGGCATTGATCATCTTTACGCTGTGAAGACCATTTCTGAGGTAAATATCTCTTGTAACTGGTGAGATCAGTTGATATATTTTGGCATGTTTTAACGGTTATTTTGTTCTAGGTTCATGATGCCGGCGGAAAGATAACCTCCTTCCTCTCTTACTGCGGTGGACTTCCCGCGCCTGAATGCTCCAATAACCCCCTCGGCTACAAGTTCTCCTGGTCTAGCCGAGGTGTCCTTCTCGCTCTTCGAAATGATGCAAAGTATTACAAAGACGGCAAAGTGCAATCTGTCTCTGGGCCAGAGCTCATGGGAACCGCCCAGCCATACTTCATCTACCCAGGCTTCGCCTTCGTCGCCTACCCGAACAGAGATTCAACAGCGTACAAGGAACGCTATAATATCCCGGAAGCCCAGACCGTCATCCGCGGCACGTTTAGATACCAGGGCTTCCCCGAGATGATCCGCACACTCGTCGATATGGACTTCCTCAGCGCCGAAGCGAAGGATTTCCTCGACTCCCCCATTCCCTGGAAAGAAGCCACCCAGAAAATTCTGGGCGCCACCTCCTCCAGCGAAAAGGATCTCGAGTGGGCCATCTCGTCGCGCACCAAGTTCCCCACCACTGAAGAGAAATATCGTATCCTCTCTGGCCTCCGCTGGGTCGGGATCTTCTCTGACGAGAACATTATCCCCCGTGGCAACCCCCTGGATACGCTGTGCGCAACCCTAGAGTCCAAGATGCAGTACGAGGATGGTGAGCGTGATATGGTTATGCTCCAGCATAGGTTTGAGATCGAGCACGCGGATGGATCTAAGGAGACAAGGACTAGCACTCTGTGCGACTATGGTGACCCCAATGGTTATTCGTCCATGGCAAAATTGGTTGGCATCCCGTGCGGTGTCGCTGTCAAGCAGGTCCTTGATGGCACCATTAGTGCGAAGGTTCGTTTTGATATTACCTTTCCACCTGTTCTTTTTATATCTTATATCTTATTCCTTTTCTTTCTCAAATCCGAAGTTTATTCTTTGGGTTATTTTCCCCTCTATTTGCGGTAATAGTTGCTAACCACTTACCTAACTTTTTAGGGCATTTTGGCACCGATGAGCATGGACATCTGCGCTCCTCTGATTAAGACTCTTAAGGAGGAACACGGCATTGAGATGATTGAAAAGACTGTTTGAAACAATTCAATGCTAGTTGAAAGGGGTATTGCATTGGATGCGTTTTTCTTTTACACCATCAGGTCAGGGAAGGCAATTAAAATCTTTATAGAGGGTTGGGGGGGGGTGGGGGGGGGTGCACCATAGTACTTTACAAAATACCAGCCAATTGATTTCCCTGCCCACCTTATTTTGGTGCAGTGTTTTCACTTTCCGCTCACCATATGCGATACTAAATTTCATGGCATATTAAGAATCCCGCTAATAGCTTGATCATAATATATGCCATGGAAAGGTATTAGTTTCTGAATTTCGTTCATCAAGATCTGCCCTTGACAATGATCAAACCTTCTGCAGTGCCTTCATGCATGTATCCATTTCGGCAGGCAAGGGTGTGGATACTTCTGGATGCATAAGGCACTGGGATATTTTATGCCTATTTATTCACCCGGGAGCGTGGAAAAGTAATCGGATACTTCTTGAATGCCTTGGCTATTTTCAGGTAAGTGAATGGGTGCAGCACCATGTTGGCGTAGAGTAAGGTCTTAATATCCATCCATACCTTGTGCGTATTTGAAAGAGACGATAACCTCCCCGAAACGTTCGCCATTATCGTGTGCATGCCCAGGATCGATTTATGAATTCAACATCGAAACCAAGGCTATTCAACTCCATAAATACACACCATATCCGCTGAAGAACGAGCTTACGACAGATCGTAGGAATCTCCCGTCTTCTTCATCACTGTACCCAGTCATACCCTCGCATCCCATTTCCCCCACAGCTATTTGGGCGTCCCCTAAACAATATTCATCGATCCAAACTCTCCCGCGCACCGAACCAATATACCACACCAAATGAACTATGAACCGATGCGCGTCTTCGAGAAAGAAGGCATGTGGTTAGAAGAGCATGTCTAGCATGACAAAATTAGGTCTCAACATGAGCACGATGGATCCGATTACACTACTGGTGGTCTTTTGTGCATGAGATGAAAAGGGTGGAGAGCGAGACCGCGATGCTGATCAGGAGGGGGAGAGGGGAGGTGATTTTGATTTTCTGTTTCATAGTTCAAAAATTGTAGTGCAATCCCATCCTAAGACTAAAGGAGACGGGATGCTTGTATGTACATAATTAGGTTCCCCAATGAATAGGACATTTTCACGATTAATCTCCGCTGTCTGGGGATATTCCCAATAGCTTTCTCTGGGTAGTTTATCGGTTAGTTACCGGGTTACTGTGGTCCGAACAAGTTCGGGAAACGGAACCAAGCGGAAGGACTCCGCTTTTCCCATAAGCTTAAATACCTTAAATCCACCACTCACCCACCACAAACTCCCAAAAACAGGGGAAACTGCCAATTTTCATGACATCTGGTTCGGGCATGACTTTCATCGCCAGTACCCTACGTCATGATCTGGATAATGCTGCCGATGAGAGTTGAATTTTCTGCGTGATGGTCTGGAACGTGTGAATTGAATGCCAGATTCATTTACGAGACAGTCTCAGCGCCTACGGCATATATTGCCTTGATCTTTGGGATTCCTACTTCCAATGTTGCGATGCCTGATTTGATAGGGCACACAGAAACTGTGTATCTGTGTAATGAAAACTTGCTCCGAGCATCATTTGTGCAAAATGCTAGGACAGCCCCCGGATTCGTGTGTTCCCAAAGCCTGGAAAATTCCATGACAAACTTCGCAAACTGCTGCGCACGCATCTCTGGGCGGAGAAAACAGGGTGGTCTTAAATGTATTGCGACCTGAGAAACGATGTCATGGCAAGAAACATTACGTACGTCACTTGCAAATGGGGTCGGGAGTGGAGGACGGAAAACCTTCTCCTCACTCCACGAGAGTTTAATTTTTCATTCCAGCTGCTGAGCATGAGTGCGATGTTATATCTCGGGGAAATACACACCACGTGTTCAGAGACGAGATATTTGAATATATATGTTTCACCATCCCTGACGAATAGCTTCCGATAATCATTTAGCAGGAGCTGTGGAGAAATACAATAGTTGAAGAAGTTGAGCACAACCCACCATGCGGCGCTCTCCATCAGCACGATCATCGACTTGGGCTGTCATATTAATTCTCTTCTTGCTAAGCGCGGTTGATAGCACTCCTATCAAAGAGAAAACTTACATTGAGGAAGAGTATGACTTCATAATTTGTGGAGGTATGGCTTTCTCAGTCCTCTGAGGACTACGGATACCAACTAAACGTCTATATAGGCGGCACTGTTGGCCTCGTTTTAGCCAACAGATTGTCTGAATCTGGCAGGAATAAAATTCTCGTTCTTGAAGCGGGGCCGGAACCCTCTGTCGTAGCAGCGTACGAGCCTGCTGGTGGCAACCAGTTCCTCGGCGGTATGCAGGGGATCTCCTGAGTTTTTGTCATGGACCTCAACTAAGTGTTTTACAGGAACTTCAATTGACTGGAACTTTCACACTGTCCCTCAGGAATATCTTGACGGGCGTATCTTGCCGTACCACCGTAAGTTCTCTGCAACTTCTCTCTCATGCAATGCCAATTGATATAAATACCATCAAAAATTATTCTTGCTGATATAAAATACAGGTGGCAGGTGCTTGGGTGGAAGCAGTGTCACAAACGGTCTGTTTTATGGTCGGGGTAGTGCCAGCGTATACGACAAGTGGGTAGAGCTTGGTAACCCTGGCTGGGGCTGGCATGATGTTTATCCGCTATTTGTGAAGGTAGGAAACCCTCGACTGTTCTCGGAACTCAAGTAACATTCCCTACAGAGTACTCGCTTTAATGCGCCGAACCCTGACTCCGAATTTGACCAAAGTTACCAAACATGGGATCCAAGCGCATATGCGGACGGTCCTCTAGATATTGCTTTCCAAGGCTATGTTCCTGAGTCGGGAATTGCATTCATTCAAGCTTGTGAAGCTGCCAATATACCTATCGTCAATGAGTTAAATTCGGGAAATAATACTGGTGTCAAGCAAGGTACTGGTTGTCTTGATAGTAGATACCGACGAAGCTCTAGTTATGATGCCTTTTATAAACAAGCAGCCGGTCGACTAAATTTGGTGGTTCTGCATCAAGCTCCTGTCTCTGAGATCATTACAAGACAAACAAATGAATCTATAGTGGCGACTGGAGTAGTATTTACTGAGCAGTTGACTGGTCGATCACGTAGTGTCAAGGCAAAGAAGGAAGTTATTTTGAGCTTGGGTGCATTTCAAACTCCTCAACTTCTCATGGTTTCGGTATGAGTTACTACCCCTGAATTTTCTCGCTACTTACTTACTATGGCCTAGGGAATTGGTCCCGCTTCAGAGCTGAACAAGTTTGCCATTGACCATGTTCTGATTAATGAGAATATTGGTCGCAAGTAAGTGGCTCTCGTGTCTCCATTTAGGGCACAACACATATGCCAACATTGATTTTTCAGCTTGGACGACCATTCCGTCTTCAGTATTATGGCTACTGTTCACCACAACGCCTCAACTAGCCAGATGTTTGCCTCTGCTAGCAATATACAAGCAGCTCAGGCTGAGTTTTACAACAACCTTACTGGCCCATACACAGCACCCTCAGGCATAACCAATGGGTTCCAGATGCTCTCTGATGACGAACTGCAGTCCATTGGTGCACATGACATTGTTGCTCAAGGCCTCACGAACCGATCGCACATCGAGTACCTCTACGAATCAATGTGGTATCCTGGGGGCCCAACTCCATATTATATTCCAGATGAAGATATCTCATACATCTCCCTCACCGCATCGAATCTCGTAGCTGCATCTCGGGGAAATATAACTCTTCGATCAAGCTCAATGAGTGATGCGCCCCTAGTTAACCCAAATGTAGGCAAGATCTTTTCTTTTTCGTACTGTCTAATTTATTAGCCATCGAAGCCTCCTGTGTCAAGAGCTAGAGAAGCTAACCGATCGAATTAATAGTATTATTCCCATCCGGCAGACCGCGCCTTAGGGATTCAGTCATTCAAGTATCTACGGAAGATTCTCGCGCATCCAGCATTTGACAGGTTCACAGTTGGCCCATCCCACGGAGAGGTTAGCCCTGGCCCCTCCGTCAGCAGTGACGACGATGACGCGATATTTGAGTACATCAAAGCAAATACCATCCCAAATTGGCACGCCTCGGCAACAACTCAAATGCGACCACTAGAAGACGGTGGAGTGGTAGACCCGAGATTGAGGGTTTACGGGATTCAAAATCTCCGGGTAGCGGATTCCGGTATCATACCGTTACTCCCTGATGTAAATATTCAGGGGCCAGTCTTCATGATTGGCGAGAAGGCGGCACAGATGCTCAGAGAGGATTGGGGAGACATTTGACTTTACTAACCTTCTTTTGGGTTGTGTCCGTTGTTTTCTAGACACACATTCCCTCCTTGGATCCTTCTTTATTTCACATTGGTTTGAGATGGGTAGCTGCTTGTAATGCCTTTTATTCGGTTAATTCAAACAGACTAATATTTATTTCATAAATAAATTAGGAATTGCAAAGTTCATGAAACAAAGCTAATATATGTCAAAATTACAATGTATGTAGGAAATTTCCTTATCCAGTTGACCAAGGTATCTGGTCGCTGAAATAAAATAACCACCACAGAACAGATACCAGTCTGGAGAACTGTTAATTCACACCGAGGACAACTTTACCTCTAGCCCGTCTAGTATCAACTTTTGCAAACGCTTGTTCAAATTCTTCCAGCTTAAAGGTGCTGCTATCTTTGACAGCTGTCCACCGTTCGGCTCCATGGTAGAGAAAATGTCTTAACATCCTTCTCTGTGCAGTTAGCTGGCCTTTTCTCTTCTAGAGGCTGCACAATGCTGATCAACGTCCCCTCACCCTTACCACATCCCCCGACATCCCCTAAGTTCTCATTACTGAAGTAATCGATCGCCAGATCCATCGTCTTATTCCCATCTACAGCAGGCCACGCAGTTATGGCTGTCTTTTAACAATCGACTACGTCATTGGCACCTAGGTCACGGACATATTGTTCATTCTCCGATCCGCAGGATGCACAGGTGTGAAGGCCTGCAATTCCAGCAAGCTGGACGAGCCATAACCCAACACCACCTGATGCAGCTGTGATGAAGAAGATTCTCTTCCATTGGTTTGCGGTATTTTCAGGACCACCCGGTCCACCCTGAAAGAACAAGGCTTGCCATGCTGTAAGTGCCGACACAGCCATGGTTGTAGATTCTGCCCAGCTTAGATTGCTCGGTCTATGAGCAAGCTCAGAGGTCACTGCAATGGTGTAGTCACGAGCGCAGCACGGCCGAACATAGTTTGGGCGAGCGTAGCCTTGATCTCCAGCTACATATGAGGAACCCTCTGGCGCAGTGATGATAGTTCCGGCGAGATCCTAAGCAGGGATTATCTTCTCTTTACCCAGGATCGGAAATAGTTTTGGCCAACGAGGCTCTCCGGCACAAATAGCCGTTGCGTGGACACGGATAAGGTTCCCGTTAGATCTCAGCTTGGGTTTGGCAATAGGCCTCTATCTGAGGGTAAAGGTATCCTTCTCCACGTCTTGCCAAAGAGATCTAGCAGTAGATTTAAATAGTTGATCTGCCACGGCGCAATCTTGAGTGACAGTGGATGTTGTATAGGCTTTGGTGCTCTGGAGTGGGGTTAAAAACGACTGTATGTTGCGTGCGAGGTAGTCGTGCTTCGAGGCAAGGGGAGGGTCGTGAGTACGTATTGAACGGGTTGGCAGCCAACTCGTGTTCAAAGAATTCACCAAGCTAGTTGACTCTAGCATACTCCGTACATACAAAAATGTTACTGAATGTGAGTGTCGAGCAGGATAATAACCGTGCCATGCTTACTCACTCTCTCTAGTGAGTGTGCCACAGTGTACAGAAAACCACACTGTACAGAAAATATTTTGAATATCTTCATTCTTCATCTTCAAATAATCATTATTAATTATAATCATGTCTAAATCTTCTAATTACACTGAGGAGCAGTTGTAAAGAGCTGTTGACATATATAAAAGTAATTCAAAATTAAAAATCATGTCTCTGTCATAAGAATTCAAAGTCTCATATATTATCTTATATGAGAGAATCAATGAGAAGAAATCAAGAACTATAAGAGTTTCACTGAATTAAGTATTGAATGATAGTCAGAAAGAGATAATTAAGATATGAATTTATCAGTTAGATATTAATTTTTGTCTATTCATTATTAAGTATATCAAAGCTGCTGTGAACTGTATATTGAGATAGTATTATACAGATTCAGAGACTACATCTCTCATAGTAAGCAAGATATAAGTATATCAATTTATTAAACATCTGTCAGATTATAAATAAGTTAAGTAAAAGCTTATAAATTTAAAATAAGTATTTTATAAGAATATATGCTTCATTATCAACTGATTTAATTAATATGAAGCTGTCTTCAATTAATATCATTTTTTTCACTGTAATATCTACAACTTTGATGAGATTGAATTTTAAGAAGAAGAATATAAATAGTGAGTTATAATTATCTTTAGAGATATAAATTCTGTTATACAGTTATTATACTTTCACAGATTAATAATAGTGATAAAGTATATTAATGTAGATAATATAGTATTAAATTTATTAATTATAATAAAATTAAAGATTTATCTAAAGAATTAATATATAACTATACTTTCACTTATCTGATAATTATATTATTACTGTATCTGAGTCTGACTTTATAAATGATGAGATTGAATTTGAATAAATTAAGTAGTTTAATAAGATGATAAAAAAGTATCAAATGAGCAGTTATTAACTGTTATTAATAAATAATCATAATTCTCATCTTATAGAAAAATTTATTCAATACTGTAATCTTCATAAGATTATTCTGTTCAGATTCTTATCTTATATAAGTTATATTCTATAATCTCAGTATTATTATATAAAGACAGTTAATAAGACTGCTTACTATAAATATAAGTAGTATAATAATAGACAATTTCTTACTAATCTGAAGAGTATTTAACTATAAGTATTTAAATCTGATACTGTGAGAGCTGGCTTTATCAACTGCAGAATGTATTCAGTTAATTATAATATAATTCTCAATTGATTGAGATCTCTTATCATTGATAATGCCTCAGATCTTAATATATACAATAATGATAATAATAAATATAATTACTTTACTCTGTCATCTGCAGATTAATTATTAACTATCTTCTCATAATTAATCTTCTCAGAAACAGTTGTAAAACTATGTCACTAAATTAATACAGCAGTCAAGATCTTAGAAGATATGAAGAATATTCTTATATTTAATTTAATAAGATGATTGAACAAGATCTTCAAGAGTAGTATAATTCAGACAGAATTGAATACACACTGTGAGAGTGAACTTACAGATTATTATTAAATAAATAGATATCAGATTATTAAATTCTCTCACAGATAGATATAAGTAAATGAAGTTCTTACTATTAAGAATGTTAATTACAAGATTATAATCTGTAAAGCAGATAAGATGAAAAAGACATTTAATAAGAATCTTTAATTAATTGAAATCAAATCTATAAAATCTACAGTCACTTAATCATAATAAGATAATTCTATAGAATCTCCATGTTGCGGGCTGCGCCCGATCAATCATATAGACTATTTCATTACACTTCACAGATTTCAATCGCTTCATTCTTGAATGTGTATGCTCTGATTCTCAGCCACTCTCAATTGCTGATTCTCAGTCATGTACACTCTGATTCTCAGTCACTCTCAATCACTGATTCTCAGCTGCTATGAACACATATAGATTCTTCCACTCTGAAGTCTCACTGTGTACATCACCACATACACATATAAATATCTACTTCAATCACTGATTCTTACACTTTCTCTTTCTTTTTCTTCTCTAACATTTTTCTCTTTGTTATATAAGATCTATTAATATCATATCAATCTATTCAGCATAGGCCTCTTATACTAGAAAAACATTCATTATCTTCTTATTAGAAATAATTATTCATATATTATCTTCTTATTAGAAACAATTACTCATCAAGATATTTAAACACATAATAACACATAAGAAATAGAGAAATAGTTAAACAGTTAAGCAGACACTAAGTCTTCAGATAAAAGCTTACTCATCAGTTATTCTAACTCTGTAACAAGATCTTATAAAGAGAGTAAGATCTTATAAGAGAATATCAGTAAAAGATCTGAGAGTTCTGACATCTCAGATGTATAAGATATTCATATAATTACACATTCAACAATTAATATAACCATGTCTAATGAAAATATGAAACTCTCAAACATAAGCATAGATATGATATCACAGTGACTTCAAGCAATGTTGACATTATAATAATAATAAATAGCTGATATGCATGCAACTCAATAACATGAATATGAAGAGATTCAATAATTATCATAACAAGAGACTTATGCAATTTCAACATCTACAGAATCAAATATAAAAGTACTGAAAGAACACTTAGATACTTCTGTATATTTCAATACTTCTGATCTCACTCTCTACTCATCATAAAGAATGAAAATGCTCATAAAACTGAGTGTAGATGAAGATGTCATCAGTTCATTAATTAATCAAGATTGATATATCAATGAATAATTGAAGAATTATATGAAACAGAAGTTTCATTTATAAATAAAAGCATGTGAATCAGTGTTGCAAACATCTAATAATATTATTAAATATCTTGATGTTCTGTTCTGAGACACTATTATATAACAGAAAGTATTAAATTGATTATAGAGTATCTGACAGAGAAACACTTCTCTTATAACATTTATTCCTGACTTCAACATCAAGATTCTAGAAGTAGATAATCAATCTTGAAAGAATTAAATGAAGATTAGTATGCTTAAGAAGATATTAACTTTCAAACTCTTACAGACTCTTGTAAGTGTAGATGAAGATCAGACTTATAAAGATTTCTGCACACAGCTTCAGACATTGAATAACTGTCTTATCAAGCTCAAGAGTATACAGAACAGTGATAGAAGATGTTACACTTCAGTCACTTATACACTTATACTGAAGAACAGCAATGATGCAGATATCATGAACTGAATAGATTTAAATATCTATACAGAAGCAAGAGTTTTCACTGTTTGAATAGACTTCTGAGTCTCTGAGATCACTTCTGAGAAAGTCACTGATTGATATCAATATGAAGTATACATTAACTGTAACTGATTAGAACACATCACTTTCAACTGTTAATCAATCTATGTGTCTTCACACTTAAGAGAAAGATCAGTGTCTTCTTATTTAAAGAATGAATCAGTATCTGTCTGTGTCAATTACATTGCAGTGAAGAAAGATTCAGAAGATAACTATGAGAATATCTCAATAAAACAGGGAAAAGATTAGCTTCTATTCAAATTCATAAACAGAAGCTTGAAGAGATCAGATGATAATAATTTAAAGAGAAAATGATAATGAATACAATTCTTGTATCTACTGTGATTGATAATATGTATAATATAAAAGTCATGATAGACAGCAGTCTATGTCACTATGCAATAATAAAATCTTCAGTTATAAAATATTATAATCTTCAGTGTATTCTCTTATTAAAACCCTGACTCCTTGCAGAATTTAATAATTCAAAAGATATTTGTACTTATTACATGATAAAGTTAATCATAGATGTGAGAGAATATTAATATGAAAATATCTACACATATAAAGTTGATAATCTTGATTATAATCTTATATTAGAACTTGCCTGACTATCTGAATAAGATATTTTATTAAACACTTAAAACAGAAGCTTGATATTCTCTAACAATGATAGAATTCATAAAGATAATATTTACAAGATCATGAATCTGACACAGATCTCTGTTAATGCATATGAAATACTTTAAAAAAGAAGTCACTGATAGTAGAATTATATAATAATCTATTTCATCAGTCTGATCAATATTAAAAAGACTCTAGAAAAGTTATTCTGTATTATAATAACAGATTCTCATACAAAACTTTCTCAATAACATTATGAATATCTAGATGTCTTCTGACAAGATAATATTATAAACATATCTCTCTTACAAGACTCTGAAGTGAATCACAGTATCAAGTTAAAGAAGAAGAATGATAAGAATCTCAAACTGTTATAAGATCTTCTTTACAACATGTTCTGAGAGAAACTTCTTCTTCTTCAAAAGATACTCAATGATCTATTGAATAAAGAATTCATATATATTAATAATTCTTTCATCACAGCCTCTATTCTCTTTGCAAAGAAATTAGATGAGAGACTCTGATTCTGTATAAACTATCAAGAACTGAACAGAATAACAAAGAAAGACTACTACTCACTATCTCTTATCAATGAAACTCTAGCTTACATTGAATAAGCTTAATAGTTTA